ATATATATATATATATATATATATATATACTATTATATATATATATATATATATATATATATATACATACATATATATATATATATATATATATATATATATATATATATATATATATATATATATATACATATATATATATATATATATATATATATATATATATATATATAACATATATACATATATATATATATATATATATATATATATATATATATTATATATGTATATATATATATATATATATGTATATATATATATATATATATATATATATATATATGTATGTATATATATATATATATATATATATATATATATATATATATATATATATATATAATGTATATATATATATATATATATATATATATATATATATATATATATATATATATATATATATATATATATATATATATATATATATGTGTGTGTGTGTGTGTAATTTTTTTTTTAACCATACTTCAACTGCCACAGTTGATCATATCTGAAGACTGGTTTTGATCCATGTCATTTAAGATAAATTCTCAGTGTCTTTCATTCAGTTGATAATCTGATCCTAGTTGTTGTTGTAATTGTTAAAGTTGAATTTGGTGAAGGCACCCTCATAACTGTTTGTTTTATTATTTTTATTAACACATTAGCCATTTCCCACCAAGGCAGGGTGGCCCGAAAAAGAAAAACTTTCACCATCATTAACTCCATCACTGTCTTGCCAGTGGCATGCTTACACTACAGTTATAAAACTGCAACATTAACACCCCTCCTTCAGAGTGCAGGCACTGTACTTCCCATCTCCAGGACTCAAGTCCAGCCTGCCGGTTTCCCTGAATCCCTTCATAAATATTACCTTGCATACACTCCAACATGCTTGGTGGAAGTCCAAGCCTCTCACACACAAAACCTCCTTTACCCCCTCCCTCCAACCTTTCGTAAGCTGACCTCTACCTCGCCTTCCCTCCACTACAGATTTATACACTCTCGAAGTCATTCTGTTTCATTCTATCCTCTCTACATGTCTGAACCCTCTCAACAACCCCTACTCAGCCCTCTGGATGATAATTTTGATAATCCCGCACCTCCTCCTAATTTCCAAACTATGAATTCTCTGCATTATATTCACACCACACATTGCCCTCAGACATGACATCTCCACTGCCTCCAGTCTTCTCCTTGTTGCAACATTCACCACCCATGCTTCACACCCACTTAAGAGCGTTGGTATAACTATACTTTCGTACATTCCCCTCTTCGATTCCATGGACAAAGTTCTTTGTCTCCACAGACTCCTCAGTGCACCACTTGCCTTTTTCCCCCTCGTCACTTCTATGGTTCACCTCATCATCCACTCCCAAATAGCTAAATACATTCACCTCCTCCATACTCTCTCCCTCCAACCTAATATCCAATCTTTCATCACCTAATCTTTTTGTTATCCTCATAACCTTACTCTTTCCTGTATTCACTTTTAATTTTCTTCTTTTACATACCCTACCAAACTCATCCACCAACCTCTGCAACTTCTCTTCAGAATCTCCCAATAGCACAGTGTCATCAGCAAAGAGCAACTGTGACAACTCTCACTTTGTGTTAGATTCTTTATCTTTTAGCCCCACACCTCTTCCCAACGCCCAAGCATTCACTTCTCTTACAACTCCATCTATAAATATATTGAACAACCACGGTGACATCACACATCCCTGTCTAAGGCCAACTTTTACTGGGAAATAATCTCCCTCTTTCTCCTACATACTCTAACCTGAGCCTCACTATACTCACAAAAACTTTTCGCTGCTTTCAATAACTTACCTCGTATTCCAGACACCTGCAACATCTGCCACATTTCCCCTCTATCCACCCTGTAATATGCCTTTTCCAAATCCATAAATCTGACAAAAACCTCTTTACTCTTATCTAAATTCTGTTCACTTATATGTTTCACTGTAAACACTTGGTCTACACACACCCTACCTTTCCTAAAGCCTCCTTGTTCATCTTCTATCCTGCTCTCCATCTTACTCTTAATTCTTTCCATATTAACTCTACCTTACACTTCACCAGGTATACTCAACAGACTTTTTTTTTTTTTTCAACAAACCGGCCGTATCCTACCAAGGCGGGGTGGCCCAAAAGGAAAAAAACAAAAGTCTTCTTTTAAATTTAGTAATACATACAATAGAAGGGGTTACTAGCCCCTTGCTCACATCATTTTAGTCACTTCTTACAACATGCATAGTTTACAGAGGAAGAATTCTGTTCCACTTCCCCATGGAGAATCAAAGAGTAGTTATCAATTTATAATAGCTGTCTCTGGAATTGTGAGGAGGTTGTGTCTGGCAGCTTGTATACAACCACAGTGACAAGGTTTTCATTCTCAGTCTTTGTTGCTAAAACTTGAAATACAGGAGGGCCCTCCTCACCTGGCAGGTTAGTATCCTGACTCAATGAAAAGCTGAAGTTGCTGAAAAGTGGAACATGGCATTTTTTCACTTTCAAGTACATGTATATGAAAGCCTGATAACATGTTTATTCTTTTGTTCTTCTTTCATCAAACCGGCCGTATCCCACCAAGGCGGGGTGGCCCCAAAAGAAAAACAAAAGTTTCCCTTTTTAAATTTAGTAATTATACAGGAGAAGGGGTTACTAGCCCCTTGCTTCCGGCATTTTAGTGGCCTCTTACAACACGCATAGCTTATGGAGGAAGAATTCTGTTCCACTTCCCCATGGAGGTAAGAGGAAATAAACAAGAACAAGAACTAGAAAGAAAATAGCAGAAAACCCAGAGGGGTGTGTATATATATGCTTGTACATGTATGTGTAGTGTGACCTAAGTGTAAGTAGAAGTAGCAAGACGTACCTGAAATCTTGCATGTGTATGAGACAGAAAAATGGGGACACCAGCAATCCTACCATCATGTAAAACAATTACAGGCTTTCGTTTACACTCACTTGGCAGGATGGTAGTACCTCCCTGAGTGGCTGCTGTCTACCAACCTACTACCTAGGAACATGTTTATACTATCATATATTAAGTGTGCAATAGAGCTAAGTCTAAAAAAAAAAAAAAAAAGATAGGCAATTAAAATGAACATACAATATACATATTACTGATCTTACAATATTTTCTCTGTTAGCTTATAGCATGTAGTGACTGTAAATTTGAGAAATGAATGTGCTTAGTGTAGGAAGTATGAAGGAGATAGAACAGTTTCTTCGTGTGACTCTTCAGTGTGTTGTGTTGCTGTTGATGTTGAAGGTTGCAATGGTACTTCCTTGAAGTATTAACCTTTCAGGGTCCAGAGGCCAAATTTCAAAGTGTGCACCAGTGTCCAAGAATTTTCAAAAAATAATTTTTTTATTTTTTCTTATGAAATGGTAGAGAATCTTTTTCTGAAGTTAATAAAACAAAAGGTACGAAATTTGGTGGAAAACTGACGAAATTATGCTTTTGTGAATTTTGATGTGTCAGCGATATTTACGCATCGGCGATTTTGCCGACTTTGACTCCCATTTTAGGCCAATTACATTAGTCCAGTCAACCACATTCTTATTTCAGTAGTATTACTTCTGTTCTATCGATCGAGCACAATAAATTGCCAAATCAACTGTTTCAACTATAAAATAATGTAATCGGAAATTGGTAATTTGGCCAATTTAGTGCCAAGTTCAAAATATTCCATTTTCAAAATAGGGTCTAGAATAAACAACGCAGGCATTCCTGGCACTAAACTAACATTTCCTCTGTTCATTAGTTACATTTTCAGGCTTTACAAATGAATTCCATTTTGATTTTTTATTCACATAATGATTTTTTATTCACATAATGAATTTTTATTCAAACCAAAAAATAGAAGATTTACTGTTATGCAATATTGTAATAATTGTATAAATAATATCAGCACATTTGTGAACGTATATTAGACCCATCAGCTGGCGTGTATTAGAAGTGTGAGGTCATTTGTTTACTCTTGAACATCGACAAAAATTTAACATTTTCACTACTTTGAGCTTAATTTCAAGCCATTTCCAATACCAAAACCAATCAATATCATCTCTATTTCTGTAATATATCTTCCATTCTATCAAATGAGACCAAGAAATCACAATACGTACAACCATAAAAACGTACTGTTTGCTGCAGGATTTGTTTTATGTGGCGCACACATACCACATAGATGTATTCTCTCATATCTAGGCCCAAATTTTCTTCTCACAGCTTATCAGAGTGAGCTGAGCTCATGGCATAGATCTACGGTTTGGACCCTGAACGTAAAGCCGTAGATCTACGGCACGAACCCTGAAAGGATTAAAGCAAGGAACTTTACCTTGTGGTTTCTGGTCAGCAATAAGGCCATCACGTTTTCTTATAAGTTTAGTGTTCACTGATGTAGCACTTTTAATTTCCTTTAACACTTTATTCTTAGAGCTCACAGTTGTTCTAACTAATTGGTGAACCAAACCAAGCTATGTCTTATCTCAGTCATACCCATAACTTCCTCACTGAATTTAATCATGTCTAACTTAGCATTTACAGCAAGAGTCTTACAACTCCTCTTTTTATCACAACTTCCCATAGATGCCACTGTAATTAACAAAAAAATTACACAAAATATACATAATAACTTAAAAATGATTGAAACTTTGGAAAATTGCCAGAATACAAGATACAGTGCACACATGCTGCAAACAGACTGAATCACTGACAATAAAATGACACTGATGCCCTTCTTTGACTCAAATGTTGAGAACATCATGCTGAAACAATGCCAATAAAGCAGAACAAGCACTGAATATAATGAACAATAGATATAATTGAGAACTCTAGAATTAGCAGAAAGCCGTAAGGTGGGGCCTTCCTGTGTATCAAATCAATAAGGTAGTACCTTTTTCCTATGATCTAATTGAATCTTGGAGTGTGTATAAGTTTAACACGTAATACATGAAATCAACAAAATTCATAAATCCATTGACATTAATTCTCCTTTTCATTTCAGCAATGATCATAGTGGTCAAATTAGAGGGCCAACCGTTCCTGTGTCGCACGGACGAGGTGGGAGAGATCTGTGTGGCTGGGGGTGCGGTCGGTGACCAGTACTGGGGTCTACAAGGCATGACCAACACCACCTTCAAGGTTCAGCCGCTTCTCCCAGATAACACACCCATGTCCGAGACCTCGTCCTTTGTCCGGACCGGACTACTAGGCTTCTTAGGTCCAGTAAGTTCACAGAAATTTGATTTAATAGTCAGCATTCTTATAAAGCTCCTATACAGTCAGCTCTCTTACAAAGTTCCTCTATATGCAGTCAGCTCTAATATAAAGCTCCTCTATATACAGTCAGCTCTCTTATAAAGCTCCTCTATATACAGTCAGCTCTAATATAAAGCTCCTCTATATACAGTCAGCTCTCTTATAAAGCTCTTTTATATATAGCTGTTATAGGCCTCTTGCTGTCTGTCACATAGTTCGATGTCACTGATTCCAGATGTAGGTCTATGTCATGAGCTCAGCTCACTCAGATAAGCTGTGAGTAGTAAATATTGACCTAGATATGAGACAGTGAGACTGTACAGTGAGTGTACACAGTATAAAAACAAGTACATCACACAGTGCATGATGGGAAAAACAAAATGACCGTGTGTATGGTTTAAAATATCAACTTTATGATGTTTTCTCGGATGGTTTTTATGGTTTTATTGGCAGTTTCTTAGTATCATTTGATAGAGTAGAAGACATACTACTAAAATGTAGATGATTTATTTCAAAACTGGAAAGTAGCTTGAAATTAAACCCAAAATAGTAGAAATGTCCAATTTTTGTTTATACTCCAGAGGATGGGAAAGCCCCCCATCGCCCCCTTTCCTACAACCCCCAGTTTGTTTTAAGGGTTTTTAATAGGTCTGATTTAATTATTGGGATGCTGTAAACCATGGTCAATCTTCCTGTTTTTTTTTTTTTTCCATCAAACTGGCCGTATCCCACCAAGGCAGGGTGGCCCAAAAATAAAAAGAAAAGTTTCTCTTTTTAAATTTAGTAATCTATACAGGAGAAGAAGTTACTAGCTCCTTGCTCCCGGCATTTTAGTGGCCTCTTACAACACGCATGGCTTACGGAGGAAGAATTCTGTTCCACTTCCCCATGGAGATAAGAGGAAATAAACAAGAACAAGAACTAGAAATAAAATAGAAGAAAACCCAGATGGGTGTGTGTATATATATGCTTGTACACGTATGTGTAGTGTGACCTAAGTGTAAGTAGAAGTAGCAAGATGTACCTGAAATCTTGCATGTTTCAGACAGAAAAATAAGGACATCAGCAATCCTACCATTATGTAAAACAACTACAGGTTTCCGTTTTACACTCACTTGGCAGGACGGCAGTACAGTGGACCCCCGCATAACGATCACCTCCGAATGCGACCAATTATGTAAGTGTATTTATGTAAGTGCGTTTGTACGTGTATGTTTGGGGGTCTGAAATGGACTAATCTACTTCACAATATTCCTTATGGGAACAAATTCGGTCAGTACTGGTACCTGAACATACTTCTGGAGTGAAAAAATATCGTTAACCGGGGGTCCACTGTACCTCCCTGGACGGTAGTAATCTTCCCTGGTTATATTTTATTATTTGAGAAAAAGAGTAAATCTATTTTTGTGTAAATAACAATTCAAAATGGAAAGCAACTGTAATATAAAAGAGGCTTGTGGACATGACTAATGAAGAGAGGAAATATTGTTTTAATGCCAGCAATGTCTTCATTGTGTATTTTTGAAAAATTCTTAAATTAGTGTTTTTTTTTTTAATTTTGTGTGAAATTTTTCAAATTACCCAATTTTCATCACACTATAGTGTAGTTGAAGTAGCTGAATGGTCAGTTTCTTGTGATCAGTCAATAGAATGGAAGGCATGCAAAATAGCTAAGAATTTGGTCAACTGGAATAATAGAATTGGCTTAAAATAGGACCCAAAGTGGGGGAAGTTGCCAGTGTGTCAATTGCACTTAGATCACTAACTTTGAACCAGCATAATTCCATAAGTTTTTCATCAAATTTTGCACTTTTTGTGCCATGAAATTTAGAAAAAGATTCTCTATCATTTCAGAAGAATAAATAATTGGAGGGGGGTTGGAATTTTTTGGACATTGAGGGGTCTAAACCCTGAAAGGATTAAGTAAAATATTTTTTTTTCCACAAGTCGGCCATCTCCCACCTAGGCAGGGTGACCCAAAAAGAAAGAAAATCCCCAAAAAGAAAATATACTTTCATCATCATTCAACACTTTCACCTCACTCATAGATTATCACTGTTTTTGCAGAGGCACCCAGATACAACAGTTTAGAAGCACATATAAAGATACACAACATATCCCTCCAAACTGCCAATATCCCAAACCCCTCCTTTAAAGTGCAGGCATTGTACTTCCCATTTCCACTACACAAGTCCAGCTATATAAAAATAACCGGTTTCCCTGAATTCCTTCACTATATATTACCCTGCTCACACTCCAACAGCTCCTCAGGTCCCAAAAACCATTCGTCTCCATTCACTCCAATCTAACACGCTCACGAACGGTTGCTTGAAGTCCAAGCCCTTCACTCACAAAACCTCCTTTACCCACCCCCTCCAACCTTTTCGAGGACGACCCCTGCCCCGCCTTCCTTCCCCTACAGATTTATACGCTCTCCATGTCATTCTACATTGATCAGTTCTTTCTAAATGACCAAACCATCTCAACAACCTCTCTTCAGCCCTCTGACTAATACTTATATTAACTCCACACCTTCTATGTATGTTTTTTTTTTTTTCAACAAGCCGGCCGTCTCCCACCGAGGCAGGGTGACCCAATAAAGAAAGAAAATTCCCAAAAAGAAAATACTTTAATCATCATTCAACACTTTTACCTCACTCACACATAATCACTGTTTTTGCAGAGGTGTTCAGAATACAACAGTTTAGAAGCAGATACACAACATATCCCTCCAAACTGCCAATATCTCAAACCCCTCCTTTAAAGTGCAGGCATTGTACTTCCCATTTCCACTACACAAGTCCAGCTATATAAAAATAACTGGTTTCCCTGAATCCCTTCACTAAATATTACCCTGCTCGCACTCCAACAGCTCGCCAGGTCCCAAATACCATTCGTCTCCATTCACTCCTATCTAGCACACTCACGCACGCTTACTGGAAGTCCAAGCCCCTCGCCCACAAAACCTCCTTTACCCCTCCCTCCAACCTTTTCAAGGATGACCCCTACCCCACCTTCCTTCCCCTACAGATTTATATGCTCTCCATGTCATTCTACTTTGATCCGTTCTCTCTAAATGACCAAACCACCTCAACAACCCCTCTTCAGCCCTCTGACTAATACTTTTATTAACTCCACACCTTCTCTTAATTTCCACACATTGAATTTTCTGCATAATATTCACACCACACATTGCCCTTAGACAGGACATCTCCACTGCCTCCAACCGCCTTCTCGATGCAGCATTTACCACCCAAGCTTCACACCCATATAAGAGTGTTGGTACTACTATACTTTCATACATTCCCTTCTTTGCCTCCATAGATAACATTTTTTGTCTCCACATATACCTCAATGCACCACTCACCTTTTTTTCTTCATCAGTTCTATGATTAACCTCATCCTTCATAAATTGATCTGCTGACATGCCAACTCCCAAATATCTGAAAACATTCACTTCTTCCATACTCCTTCTCCCTAATTTGATATCCAGTTTTTCTTTATCTAAATCATTTAAGTAAAATATATGTTATATATTGAGATATCAGAAATATTGATTTTTTTTTTTTCAACAAACTGGCCATATCCCACCGAGGCAGGGTGGCCCAAAAAAAAAAACGAAAGTTTCTCTTTTTAAATTCAGTAATTTTACTAACCTCTTGCTCTCGGCATTTTAGTTGCCTCTTACAACACGCATGGCTTACAGAGGAAGAAGTCTGTTCCACTTCCCCATGGAGGTAAGAGGAAATAAACAAGAACTGGAGCTAGAAAGAAAATAGAAGAAAACCTAGAGGGGTGTGTGTATGTATGCTTGTACATGTATGTGTAGTGTGACCTAAGTGTAAGTAGAAGTAGCAAGACATACCTGAAATCTTGCATGTTTATGAGACAGAAAAAAAAGGACACCAGCAATCCTACCATCATGTAAAACAATTACAGGCTTTCGCTTTACACTCACTTGGCAGGACGGTAGTACCTCCCTGGGTGGTTGCTGTCTACCAACCTACTACCTATAAGAAATAGTGATTATAAAATAATATATATTTATCTCTTAACCCTTTGAGGGTCGGTCACGTACAAGTACGTCATTGCAGCCAGGGTCAGTCACGTACTTGTACGCCTAAATTCTTACGCCTTCAAATCTAGTGAAAGAAAGCTAGCAGGCCTACATATGAAAGAATGGGTCTGTGTGGTCAGTGTGCACAGTATAAAAAAAATCCCGAAGCATGCTGTGCATAATGAGAAAAAAAAACTTCGACTGTGTTTTTAGTTTAAAACAGCGACTTTCTAGTGCATTTTGTATGGTTGTATTCTCGTCTCCTTGGTCTCATTTGATAGAATGGAAGATATATTACAGAATTAGAGATGATTTTTATTGGTTTCATGATGACAAGTACCTTTAACCCTTTGAGGGTCGGCAGGCCCTCTCCGAAACTCGTTCTCAGGGTTGGCCAAATTTAAAAAAAAAAAAAAATTATTTTCTCTTATGAAAAGATAGAGAATCTTTTCCCGATCATAAAGACACCAAAAGTTTGAAATTTGATAGAAAACTTACGGAATTATGCTTTCGCAAAGTTAGCGGTCTCGGCGATTTTTACGCATCGGCGATTTTGCCCACTTTGAGCCCCATTTTCGGCCAATTTTTACTGTACTAGTCGACAAAAAACATGAATATTTCGCTAGAACTCCATTTTTCCTATCGAATGGGTGCAAGAAACCACTCATTTATGAAATTCAGCTATCCAGTACAGTGGTCAGAATTTAACAATTTTGCCAATTTCACACAAATTTCAAAAGATGCCAATTTCCGAATAGGGTCCAGAATAAACAAGAAAGACATTCCTGGCACTAAAATGACATTTCCTCTAGTCATTAGTCATGTCTCAAGGCCCCTCTTATATTCTTTTGCTTTCCACTTTGAATTTTTATTTTCACAAAAAATATAAGATTTACTGTTATGCAGACTACTGCATTAGTGTAAAAAATGGTATAAATATTATTGGTGCACTTGTGAAAGAATATTAGACTCGCCAGTTGACGTGTATTGCATGGTTGGCACGATTTGTTTACTTTTGAAGTTTGGTAAAAATCGAACATTTCTGCTACTTTGAGCTCAATTTCAAGGCACCTTTCTTTGTAAAACCAGTCAAAATCATCTCAATTTCTGTAATATGTCTTCCATTCTATAAAATGAGACCAAGAAAACTAGAATACAACAATAAATACCATACGAAAATACACTGCAAAGTCGCTGATTTATTAAAAAAAAAATGGTCAAAGTTTTTTTTTTCTCATTATGCACTGTGTGCTGCAGGATTTTTTTTAGACTGTGCACACTGACTACATAGACCCATTCTTTCATATGAAGGCCTACCAGCTTTCTCCCACTAGATTTGAGGCCGCTAGAATTTATGAGTACTAGTACGTCAAAAACCCCTACGCGTAAGACGTACTAGTACGACGAAAACCCTCAAAGGGTTAAATTGAGCTCAAAGTAGTGGAAATGATCGATTTTTGCCGATGTTCAAGAGTAAACAAATCCAGCCACGCGTCTAATACACGTCAACTAGTGAGTCTAATATTCTTTCACAAGTGTGCTGATATAATTTATACCGTTTTACAATGATGTAGTAGTATACATGACAAAACCTTCTATTTTCTGTGAGAATAAAAATTCAAAATGGAAAGCAAAAGTAATGTAAGAGGGGGCCTAGAGATGTGACTAATGAACAGATAAAATGTTATTTTAGTGCCAGGAATGTCAGTCTTGTTTATTCTGGACCCTATTTTGAAATTTGCATCTTTTGAAATTTGTGTGAAATTGCCCAAATTGCCAATTTCTGACCACTTTATTGGGTAGTTGAAATCGATAAATGGGCAGATTCTTGAGCCCAATCGATAGAACAGATGGAGTTCTTCGGAAATAGCTATGATTTTAGTCAACTGCAACATTGGAATTGGCCGAAAATGGGGCTCAAAGTGGGCGAAAGCGCCCACTTTGAGACTGCTAACTTCGCGAGAGCATAATTCCGTAAGCTTCTCATCAGATTTCATACTTTTGGTGTCATTACGACCGGAAAAAGATTCTCTATCATTTCATAAGAAAAAATAATTTATTTTTTTGAAAATTTTTCAACCCTGAGAACAAATTTGGGAGAGGGCCTCTCAACCCTCAGAGGGTTAAGTGATTTCTTGATAAGCTTATTATGACCAGTGATACAGGCTTACTGGAGCTACTCCTGTGATCAACCAAGCTGTTAGGTTTGGCACATACTAACTTACTGTTGTCACCATTTTTTTGTGTTATGAATGAATGTAATTTATGCAGTCCTGGACTTAGTAAAGGTGCTCCTTGACTTATGATGGGGTTACGTTCTGACAGACCCATCATAACTCGGATGTGAATATGATATACAGTGGACCCCCGCTTAATGATCACCTCCCAATGCGACCAATTATGTAAGTGTATTTATGCAAGTGCGTTTGTACGTGTATGTTTGGGGGTCTGAAATGGACTAATCTACTTCACAATATTCCTTATGGGAACAAATTCGGTCAGTACTGGCACCTGAACATACTTCTGAAATGAAAAAATATTGTTAACCGGGGGTCCACTGTACTAAACAAGTAAGTAAATAAATAACTAATGTTATTGAATAAGTAATTAAATAATTACTGTAACTAACTAAATACACGTACCAGTATTGAAAAATAAGTAAATACAAATTATGTACTTGCTGCCTTCATGCTAGGTAATTATCTTGACCCTTTGAGGGTCTATCCCATAGTTCTACACTTCATTCACAAGGTCCAAGAATTTAAAAAAAAAATTATTTTTTTCTTATGAAGTGGTAGAGAATCTTTTTCTGAAAGGAATAAAACAGAAAGTACAAAATTTGATGGAAAATTGACGAAATTACTCTATCGTGAATTTTGCCGCATCAGCGATTTTGCCCACTCTGACTCCTATTTTAGGCCAATTACATTATTCCAGTCAACTACATTCTTAGCTATTTTGCTAGTATCACTTCTGTTTTATCAATTGAAACCAAGAAACTGCCCAGTCTATTTCAACTACTCAATAAAGTGATCAGAAATTGGTAATTTGGCTAATTTCACTCAAAGTTCAAAATGCTGTATTCCAATTTCAAAATAGGGTCCAGAATAAACAAATGAGACCAAGAGATCACAAATACAACTGTAAAAACCATACGAAAATACACCGCAAAGTCACTGTTTTAATCCAAAAATATTGTCGCAGTTTTTTTCCTCATTATGCACTGCGTTCTGCAGGATTTGTTTTATATGGTGCACACTTACCACATAGATGCATTCTCTCATATCTAGGCCCAAATTTACCGCTCACAGCTTATCTGAGTGAGCTGATCTCATGGCGTAGTACTACAGTTTGAACCCTGGCTTCAAAGCCAGGGTTCAAGGCTTCATCTCCAAAGTAATTGCTTTTGCAACATTGTAAATTCAATATATTGTAAGTCAAGGAGCACCTGTACATTGTATGTATGATTAATTTGTGTTTATGACATTAAAGGACCCCAATGGAAATAAGTCACTGAGTCTGACTTTTTTGGGTTATCCCAGGTTCTCTACACATATGCTGCTATGTATGATAATTCTATGTAACTGTATTTGTGTATACCTGAATAAACTTACTTACTTACTTAATGTGGTTTGGTCTTCCTCAGGGTGGTCTAGTGTTTGTGTGTGGGTCTCGAGATGGTCTGATGACGGTCACTGGCCGTAAGCACAACACCGACGACATCATCGCAACTGTCCTGGCAGTAGAACCCATGAAATTTATATACCGAGGTCGCATTGCCGTCTTCTCCCACAAGGTCCTGAGGGATGAGAGGATATGTGTCATAGCGGAACAGCGGCCAGACTGCTCCGAAGAAGAGGTCAGTAACTGTTAGAATTTTATTTTCAAGTTAAGTAAGAATAGAAGAGCACAGCAGCAGGCCTACTGGCTTATACTAGGCAGGTACTTCTCAAAACCAGCTATTCACACCCATCTATTTATGCAGCCTTTTCCCAGAGCTGCCCAAGAATTTGCTTCAGTACCTTAGGTAGTCATCTAACCTGGCCCATCTCATGAATGATTCTTTAGAGATACATCGTTATCCCTTTCATTGTCGGTCCCGTAATACAGTGGATCCTCGATAATCGTAAGGCTCGAAAGCCGTAATTTTCGAAAATTGTAATATTGTTTTTGTCAAAACATTGACTCGCGAATCGTCAATTGACTCCCAAATAGTTGTTCATCTGGGACGTGTACACACAGCCCTTGAGCCGCCTCATACTCCATTCCCAGCCAGTGTGCCATTGTTTATCAGTGAGTCTGGATGATCCCACGAGTTCATACGATACATTTCATAATATTCCATTTGTTTTAGTGCTTGCAACTGCTAAATAAGTCACCATGCCTCCAAAGAAAGCTTTTAGTTCCAGCCCTTTGGGAAAGAATGTGAGAAACACATAATTTAAGAAAAAGTTTGTAGAAAAATACGAAGGTGGTGGTGGTAGAATGGTAGCAGTTGTGATAGTGGTGGAGGGTGGTAGTGATTGTGGTAGAGGGTGCTAGCAGTTGTGATAGTGGTAGAGGGTGGTAGTGATGGTGGTAGAGGGTGCTAGCAGTTGTGATAGTGGTAGAGGGTGGTAGTGAGGTAACTGTCATGTTGAATGTTCATTCTTTTGTGCATGTAAATCTATCTTTAAGGTAAAAAAAAAAATTGTTTTTGATACTTCTGGGTGTCTGGAACAAATTAATTGGATTTACATTATTTCTTACAGGGAAAAGGGATTCTCAATTCATCAATTTTGATAATAGTCACGCTCTCTGGAATGGATTAATTACGAAAAATGAGGGTCCACTGTACTATGCCAAATTTCTAGTGGCTTCAAATCTGACAGGAGAAAGCTGGTAGGCCTACATGTGAGAGAATGGGTCTGTGTATTCAGTGTGTGCAGTATAAAAAGATTCAGGGAGTACGCAGTGCATTGTGGGAATGCCAATTTAGTATGCCTTGTTCACCATGCCTAGTGGTAAGGAATACCTCATTCCCCAGTGAACTGGGATTCTTCTTTTCCCAAGTGATAGTTCTAACACAGATGAAGTGTCATGAAGATGAATTTCATGGTTTTGAGGAGTTTGTGGCTGAAAGCAATGCCCAGGATACCAGAAATAGTGCTGAAAACCCAGACGACTATCAACCTTCCACCTCTGGCGCTGGGCCATCTCGGTTCAAATAGTTCAGGTTCTTACCAGGCGGCATCGTATGAGGACCACGCAAAAAGGAAACTCATATTTTCCCATATCCAGGACTCAAATGTGAGAAGTGGTGATAATAGTGATACTGATTGTGATTTCCAGCTCTTGATTACAGTTCCAGTAGCGACAAGGAAAAGTTCTTGTCACTATTGGCATTTCTTGAATTTTGTGTGAAATTGGCCAAATTAGTAATTTCTGATCACTTTATTGGGCAGTTGAAATGGGCAAATGAGCAGTTTCTTGTACTCAATCGATAGAATAAAAGAAGTTTTATCAAAATAACCACGAGTTTGGTCGACTGGAACAATGGAATTAGCCCAAAATATGGCTCAAAGTGGGCAAAATTGCTGATGCATAAATATCGCTGAGACCGCTAACATTGTGAGAGCATAATGCTGCAAGTTTTCCATCAAATTTCATGCTTTTGGTTTCATTACCTTTGGAAAAAGATAATCATTTCATAATAATTTTTTTCTTTAAATTCTTCGACCCTGTGAGCAAGTTTGTGAGCAGCGGTCGTGACACGCAAAGGGTTAATAAATGATAGTGTAAACAAGTTTTTAGACTTTATATACACTGCCAAGTGAAAAAAAGGCTGATTCACTTTAAGATGATATTAGCCTTATGGGAGCAATCTGGAACCTAACCCACTGTATTCTGTTCATTGCTGGCCTGGCTTAACCCTTTCACAAACTTGTTCTCAGTGTCGAAAGATATTCAAAAAAAAAAAAAAAAAAATTCTTACCAAAATCTTAAGAATATTTTTCTGAGTGTTTTAAAAGAAAACAAAACATTTTTGCAATCAGTACTTACTGAGATATAGAGGTGTAAAGTTGACAGAAAGTGAACCGCTGATGGCAACTAATTTTTGTGGTCTGTGAGACCAATACAATGCATATCGCATCAATTTATATGAGACTACATGCATTCTGGTAGTGTGCCACATGCTATTCCAAGGGGAAGGAGTATATCTCGGAGTACATCCCGTAGTCTAACATCAGGGACAGATAGTGAAAAAGAGAAGACAGCATAGGTGGTGGGGAAGACGCTGTGGGTGGTGGGGAAGATGGCGTGGTCAGTGGGGATGATAGCGTGTAAGTAGTTTATTCAGGTATACACAAATACAGTTATGTAGATTATCATACATAGCAGTATATGTGTAGAGAACCTAGGATAACCCAAAAAAGTCAGACAAAGTGACTTATTTCCATGTGGGTGGTGGGGAAGACAACATGGTTGGTGGGGAAGACAGTGTGGGTGGTGGTCAAGACAGTGTGGGTAATGGGTAATGTTAAAATTGGGATGGATAATATACATGCGGCAGCAGGTGGTGGTGGTGTAATGCGTCGTGTGGCACCAGCAGCACCCCAGGTTGGTAGCCATGCTGCTGACTCAGCACATCCACAGCAAAAGCCACCTTCAACCACCCACACACCACAATAACCTGCACAACCACAACAACCCACCCACAAAAATGCAGAGACACTCGTTTTACATGTGAGGAGTGTATAACAGCACTGTGTATAACAGCACTGTGTATAACACCATGTTTCAAAGAGTTCCACAAACTGTAGCAGTTCTAGGAACGTGTCCAGTGACTCTGTATGTGTATATATATTATAGAACAATAGTAATAAACAACTTTTTTGTAAACAATGTAATGATAACATTTGTGCAGTTATTATATTGCATACAATGAGTGGATATATATACATTATGCATTATATTGGTCTCACAGGCTACAAAAGTTACTTGAAAAAAAGAAATATTTGAAAAGAAAAGAAAAAATAGAATAAAGGTAAAAATAATATTACCGAGTGAGCGGCAGTCACCAGTGTTGCCGTCAGCAGTTCACTTTCTGTTAACTTCACGCCTCTATATCTTGGTAAGTATTGATCACAAAAATTTTTTGCTTTTCTTTTAAAACGCTCAGAAAATTATTCTTAAGATTTTGGGTAAGAAACAATAGCCAAGCAAACCCATTCTCTCACATGTAGGCCTACCAGCTTTCTCCCACAAGATTTGAAGCCAATAGAGTTTTGGCGTAGTATTACAGGACTGACACTGGCTTCAAAGCCGTAATATTATGGGACAGACACCAAAAGGGTTAAGCACGCAATAGCAGTAGGCCTATAAAAAAGATGCAAAGTAAAAAATAAATATTTTTTTTAAATTGCCAAAAACCATCATAAGAGCAAGGCAAACACTGAAAATAATATATGTGAATACAGCCTCTCCTAACTTAACGATGGGGTTCCGTTCCTAATGTAGGTCAGTAAACGAATTGGTTGCTCAGTGAGGAACATACTGTACTGGTAGTGGGTTTGTATCAACCATCTTTACATAATAAATTAGACAAGTGTTGCACGTGTGTCTAGTTTATCAACTTGTCAGTACTCTGAGCCATTTATCTCCATCTTTAGATTTTTTTTAATGTCACTTTTGCACCATTTATGACATTTTAGTATATTTTTCAATGTCTTTACAGTAGTGTACTGTAAAGACACTGATAGACTCATTTACCGACAACTCGGAGTTATGATAGGCACTCCGACGAGTCAGTATTTTATGCCATACAAGAACTTGGTTCAGGGAAAGGGGCAGCGGGGTGTCTTTTTCATCAAGCTTCGTCCCCTTTCCTACAGCCACTCAGTCTCAAGACTTAATTTGTACTTCTTTGTGCACCCCATAAAAAAGGACATAGGCAGCAGAAATTGGGAAAAGGGGAAAAACAGGAAAATGGAAAGAATACAATAGAATTCAAAGTAAAGGGGCTAGCTATGCGTTAGTCTGTGTGTTCCATTCTGTGTGCTTCTGGAGCTTAAGAAATTATTAAATTCAGTGAACATTGTTGATGATATATAAAAAATAATTAATAAAATAAATAATTTGCTCGGAGTGCTTTAAATGTCGCTACCGAACCCACTGAAAAAACGTATGACATCTAAATGGTCCAAACGATTATTATTATTATTATTTTTATTTATTATTAATTATTATTATTATTATTATTATTATTATTTATTATTATTGCCCCAAAGTCATACCTTGTTCACGATTTAATCTTTTCTTAAAGCCACGAAGAGACAGAATTAAAAACACAAAAACCACAAGTGAGAGGTAACTATCTTGTACCCCCTTCCCTTTTTTCTTTCCCCTTTCTACAATAAATATTTACCTCTCACCCAATTAGGACACAAAATTTTAAGGGAATAGTGAGTGTACTTATATACAATGTTAGCTACAATAAAGGTACTCATCTCTCCCTACATAAAAACAAAATATTTTTAAGAAGTGTGAGTGTACGTAATGCATTTATAGACAAAAAATGGTACTCATCTCTCACGCTACATAAAGACTACAAATTTTAAGGTAAGAGGGGTGTATGTATAACATTTTATACTACAAAAAAGGTACTCCCCCTCACCTCATAAAGGGCTCTTTTTTAAGGTTGTAGGGTGACGTTTCTTGTAAGCTACATAAATGGTACTTCCCCCACTTAAAAATAAAGACTACAAAAATTTTTTAGTAAATAAAAGTGTACTTTATGGTAAGTGGGCCCCCCTTTTAAAAATATTTTTTTCAAACCAAAGAATTTAGGTGCCCGTATGACCAATTTGTTCCCAAAAGAAAAATTGTGAATAGATTTCCCTTTCAGACCCCCAAAAAACACTACAAATGACTTGCATAAATACACTTTCATAATTGGTCGCATTTTGGGAGGGGATCGTTTTGCGGGGGTCCACTGTATTTGACTTTTTTTTTTTTTCTTAATTCCAAAATTTTGCAAATTAAAACAAAATTTTTAAAGTTGGGGTTTCCTTTTTTTTTATTTTTTTATTAATATACACATTTAAATTTACCCTTTGGCAGGTTACAAAGTGGCGGAGCTAGCAAAAGCAGAGAGAGAGAAGAACAGTTTTCAGTAGGCGATTGCCCCTACACTGGAGGGGTTGTACCCTTTACGCTATAAAAAAATTTAAAAAAAAGACAGATGTAAGGGATTAAGGGGGGGGGGCGGGGAGGGCAAGGGGGGATTTAAAAAAAAAAAAAATGACCATGACCATTATAGAAAACGTTATGCATTATGCGCCTGGAGGGCAATTATAGAAGATCACTCTTATCCTATGCAAAGACTGAAAAAAGTGCCATTTCCTAAAAAAAAAAAAAAGATTTCTCCCAAGTAATCACCTATGTGCACATTTCCTGGAATGTCTCGGAAGTAAGTTATTGATCTATTTCATGTTGTATCATCATTAACCCTTTCAGGGTCCGTCCCGTAGATCTACGGTTTTACGTTCAGGGTCCAAACCGTAGATCTACGCCATGAGCTCACCCTCACTGTGATAAACTGTGAGTGGTACATTTGGGCCTAGATATGAGAGAATACATCTATGTGGTATGTGTGCACCACATAAAACAGATCCTGCAGCACACTGTGTATAATGAGAGAAAAAAAATGAAATCATGATTTTTCAATTAAAACAGCAACTTTGCAGTGTTTTTTCGTATGTTTTTTATACTTGTATTTGCAATTTCTTGGTCTCCCTTTGATAGAATGGAAGACATATTACAGAAATAGAGATGATTTTGATTGGTTTTAGCATGGAAAATGGCTTGAAACTGAGCTCAAAGTAGCAGAAATGTTAAAATTTTTGCCCCATATTCAAGAGTAAACCAACGACCTCACACGTCTAATACACGCCACTGGTGGGTCTAATATACTTCACAAATATGGTGATGATATTTATACAATTATTACAGTATTGCATAACATAAATCTTCTATTTTTTGGTGTGAATAAAAATTCATTATGTAAAAAAAAAATCAAAATGGAATTTATTTGTAAAGCCTCAAAACATAACTAATGAACAGAGGAAATGTTAGTTTAGTGCCAGGAATGCCTACATTGTTCATTCTGGACCCTATTTTGAAATTGGAATATTTTGAACTTTGTGTTAAATTGGCCAAATTAACAATTTCCGATCACTATTTTGTAGTTGAAACAGTTGACTTGGCGATTTCTTGTGCTCAATCGATAGAATAGAAGTAATACTAGTGAAATAGCTAAGAATTTGGTTGATTGGAATAATGTAATTGGCCTAAAATGGGAGTCAAAGTCGGCAAAATCGCCGATTCGTAAATATCGCTGACACATCAAAATTCGCGAGAGCATAATTTCGTCAATTTTCCACCAAATTTCGTACTTTTTGTATTTATTACCTTCACAAAAAGATTCTCTACGATTTCATAAGAAAAAATAACAAATTTTTTTTTTGAAAATTCTTGGACACTGGTGCGTGACTCCAGATTTGGGCCTTGGACCCTGAAAGGGTTAATAATGAACGGATTGAAAGGAGTTTCACGGCAAACATAAAACTGAATGTTTTAATTTTGGGTGGTGACATTTTTGAAGTATCGGTTAAAGATGGTTCCTCAATTAGTGATGAATTCATTTACTGACGTGGTCTTAGGAATGGAACTCCATCAGTAAGTGAGGAGAGGCTGTACTGTAATAAATATAATAGAGGAAATCAGCTCTAATATACATTACTAAGGTTTGCATGTTGGTTGGAGAGCTGGTCGTAAGTCCGAGTTGTTGGTAAACACACATGTCGCTAGTTAAATAATAAAAATAATAATGTGCAGATTATTTGCGTATTGTGACTTTTTTATTCTTTTTATTTTTACTCTTTTATTCAATATTCACAAAACAAACTCTGTTGTTCAGTGTCTTAACAACTGTGAGGTAACCTTTGATATTCCTTGATATTCCCCAGTCGTGAACCCCATTGGGAACCCCTGAACTGAAATAGTGATCTACCGACCCACTTCCACAGCTTTAGTGCGCTATCTGCAAGTCATGGGGGAATTTCCGTCGTGAAACCATGAACAACATGCTAATCACTTTCTAGACGGTTGAATGATGTCCTAAACCACAAGGGACAACCTATTTTTTGTTCATAGTTTTAAAATGGGCTGGAGTTGGTTAATGAGGAGCACTGTGTGTTAAGTGTTTAAGTTGATCCTCAGCATTTAAAGTGTTATATTTTTCTCCTCAGAGCTTCCAGTGGATGTCTCGAGTTCTACAAGCGGTTGACAGCATCCACCAAGTGGGCATCTACTGCCTGGCACTCGTACCTCCAAACCACCTGCCCAAAACCCCGCTGGGAGGGATCCATCTCTCGGAAACACGCAAGAAATTCCTGGAAGGGTCGTTACATCCTGCCAATGTGTTGATGTGCCCCCACACCTGCGTCACCAACCTGCCCAAGCCTCGGGAGGTTCACCACGGTAATTGTAATGATATCCCTGTATATTTTTCTATGTTCGATTTTTTTGTAGTAGTGAGGAATATAAGAAGTCACAATACTGTAGCTGGGACAGCTTATAAATAACCCTTCTCTTCTCTTGTTTTTTTCATGCTCATTTGTAATTTGACAATAGTCAGTGATGGACCATAGATTAAATAATTCATTTTTTTTTTTTTTTTTTTTTTTACCACTTCTCTGTTTCTCTCCCTCATTCATGACTTGACAATAATCCAAGGTGGACTATAGATGGAACAGTTCCCAGATAGACTTCTTCCTTCCCTTTCTCAACTTTGTATCACTCAGTTGTGACTTGCCACTGGTCCTGCATAAACCATAACTCAAACAGTTCACAAACAACTTTTCCTCCCCCTGGAGACTTCTCTACTCTTCTTGCTCAGTCATGACTTGCCAATGACCCAAGACTGATCATAGGCAAAACATTTCTTCTCTTTCCCCCATCAAAGTCTTCTTGTTTCTTCTTCTGCTTCTTACTCACTTGTAGCTTGGCAATGGTACTGATTGAACCCAGACGTCAACATAAATTGTGTATGTGCAGGTTATGTTCAAATCTGGATCAGCAACCTATTTGTATTTGCAGTTTGCATCAAGTAGCAAAATCACTGTCTCTTGACTGATTCAATAGACACATAAGAGATTATAACTTCTATAATTAAAGACTAAATCAGGGCTAAAACTTTTGCAATGTTTGTAGTTGCTTGTCTAAAGTAATGCAATTTTTTTTCTTAGCTTTTGCCATATTTGTGGCAAAATATCATGAGTATTCACTAAATATTATTTGGTAATCTAATTTCTGAAGTTTTTTGTTTATTAAGTTTGCTGTTGAGGCTAAATTCTGTGCTTCACGAAATGCTTTACGTTCTTCAAGTTCGTGGTGGGAGCTAAGTTGCATCCTTTGTAAAAAGTTTCTCCGGTGTTGTTTCACGATGGAATAACATTCTTCAAGGTAAATGAAGGAAGAAAAACAGTGTTTAAAACACTCTTGGTAAGTAGGTATGGCAGATTCTGCGGTGTGTGTGTGTGTGTGTGTGTGTGTGTGTGTGTGTGTGTGTGTGTGTGAGCGCGCGCGTGCATGCGTGTGTACGTACATACGTACGTGCGTGCATGCGTACTCACCTAGTTGAGGTTGCAGGGGTTGAGTCCAAGCTCCTGGCCCCCACCTCTTCGCTGGTCACTACTAGGTCACTCTCCCTGAACCATGAGCTTTATCATACCTCTGCTTAAAGCTATGTATGGATCCTGCCTCCAATACATTGCTTCCCAAACTATTCCACTTCCTGACTACTCTGTGGCTAAAGAAATACTTCCTAACATCCCTGTGATTCATCTGTGTCTTCAACTTCCAACTGTGTCCCCTTGTTACTGTGTCCAGTCTCTGGAACATCCTGTCTTTGTCCACCTTGTCAATTCCTCTCAGTATTTTGTAAGTCGTTATCATGTCCCCCATATCTCTCCTGTCCTCCAGTGTCGCCAGGTTGATTTCCCTTAACCTCTCCTCGTAGGACATACCTCTTAGCTCTGGAACTAGTCTTATTGCAAACCTTTGCACTTTCTCTAGTTTCTTTACGTGCTTGGCTAGGTGTGGGTTCCAAACTGGTGCCCCATACTCCAATATGGGCCTAACGTACACGGTGTACAGGGTCATGAAAGATGCCTTATTAAGATGTCGGAATGCTGTTCTGAGGTTTGCTAGGCGCCTATATGCTGCAGCAGTTATCTGGTTGATGTGCGCTTCAGGAGATGTGCCTGATGTTATACTCGCCCCAAGATCTTTTTCCTTGAGTGAGGTTTGTAGTCTCTGGTCCCCCTAGACTGTGCTCCGTCTGCTGTCTTCTTTGCCCTTCCTCAATCTTCATGACTTTGCTCTTGGTGGGGTTGAACTCCAGGAGCCAATTGCTGAACCAGGTCTGCAGCCTGTCCAGATCCCTTTGCAGTTCTGCCTGGTCTTCGATCGAGTGAATTCTTCTCATCAACTTCACATCATCTGCAAACAGGGACACTTCGGAGTCTATTCCTTCCGTCATGTTGTTCACAAATACCAGAAGCAGCACTGGTCCTAGGACTGACCCCTGTGGAACCCTGCTGGTCACAGGTGCCCACTCTGACACCTCGCCACGTACCATGACTCGCTGCTGTCGACCTGACAAGTATTCCCTGATCCATTGTAGTGCCTTCCCTGTTATCCCTGCTTGGTCCTCCAGTTTTTGCACTAATCTCTTGTGTGGAACTGTGTCAAACACCTTCTTGCAGTCCAAGAAAATGCAATCCACCCACCCCTCTCTCTCTCTTGTCTTACTGCTGTCACTATGTCATAGAGCTCCAGTAGGTTTGTGATACAGGGTTTCCCGTCCCAGAAACCATGTTGGCTGCTGTTGATGAGATCATTCCTTTCTAGGTGTTCCACCACTCTTCTGATAATCTTCTCCATGACTTTGCATACTATACATGTCAGTGACACTGGTCTGTAGTTTAGTGCTTCATGTCTGTCTCCTTTTTTAAAGATTGGGACTACATTTGCTGTCTTCCATGCCTCAGGCAATATCCCTGTTTTGATAGATGTATTGAATATTGTTGTTAGGGGTACACATAGCGCCTCTGCTCCCTCTCTCAGGACTCATGGAGAGATGTTATCCAGCCCCATTGCCTTTGAGGTATCTAGCTCACTCAGAAGCCTCTTCACTTCTTCCTCGGTTGTGTGTACTGTGTCCAGCACTTGGTGGTGTGCCCCACCTCTCCGTCTTTCTGGAGCCCCTTCTGTCTCCTCTGTGAACACTTCTTTGAATCTCTTGTTGAGTTCCTCACATACTTCACGGTCATTTCTTGTTGTGTAAAGTAAAAGGACACAAGTGCAACTAATGTGACATTTATTGTGGCAACGTTTCGCTCTCCAGGAGCTTTATCAAGCCATGGCTTGATAAAGCTCCTGGAGAGCGAAACGTTTGCCACAATAAATGTCACATTAGTTGCACTTGTGTCCTTTTACTTTACATATTGTCGGTAATTCTACCAACTTTATTACATTTCTTGTTGTCTCTCCTCCTTCCTTCCTTAGCCTGATTACCTGGTCCTTGACTGTTGTTTTCCTCCTGATGTGGCTGTATAACAGCTTCAGGTCAGATTTGGCTTTCACTGCTATGTCGTTTTCATATTGTCGTTGGGCCTCCCTTCTTATCTGTGCATATTCATTTCTGGCTCTACGACTGCTCTCCTTATTCTCCTGGGTCCTTTGCCTTCTATATTTCTTCCATTCCCTAGCACACTTGGTTTTTGCCTCCCTGCACCTTTGGGTGAACCATGGGCTCATCCTGGCTTTTTCATTAATCCTGTTACCCTTGGGTACAAACCTCTCCACAGCCTCCTTGCACATCGTTGCTACATATTCCATCATCTCATTAACTGGCTTCCCTGCCAGTTCTCTGTCCCACTGAACCCCGTTCAGGAAGTTCCTCATTCCTGTGTAGTCCCCTTTCTTGTAGTTTGGCTTCATTCGTCCTGGCCTTCCTGCTTCCCCCTCCACTTGTAGCTCTACTGTGTATTCGAAGCTTAAAAACCACATGATCGCTAGCCCCAAGGGGTCTTTCATATGTGATGTCCTCAATATCTGCACTACTCAAGGTGAATACTAGGTCCAGTCTTGCTGGTTCATCCTCTCCTCTCTCTCTCTTGTAGTGTTCCTTACGTGTTGGTACATGAAGTTTTCCAGTATCACCTCCATCATCTTAGCCCTCCATGTCTCTTGGCCCCCATGTGGCTCCAAGTTCTCCCAATCGATCTCCTTGTGGTTAAAGTCACCCATACTCAGGAGCTTTGCCCTGCATGCATGAGCTCTTCTGGCCAATGCAGCCAGTGTGTCAACCATCGCTCTATTGCTCTCGTCATACTCTTGCCTTGGCCTCCTGCTGTTCTGTGGTGGGTTATACATCACTGCAATTACCACCTTGGGACCTCCAGAGTAAAGCATTCCCGCTATGTAATTGCTTGCTTCTCCGCTGTCTCCTCTCCAGCTCGTCAAAATTCCATCGGTTTTTGATCAGCAGTGCCACTCCTCCACCCTCTCTGTTCCCTCTGTCTTTCCTCAGGATCTGGTATCCCGTTGGAAAGATGGCATCTGTTATCACACCTGTTAGCTTGGTTTCTGTGAGAGCTATGATGTCCGGTGATGCCTCTTTGACTCTTTCGTGCCACTCCTCCTACTTATTTGTTATTCCATCAGCGTTTGTGTGTGTGTGTGTATAGGTAGTCACCTATATGAGGTTTCAGGGGTCAAGTCACAGTGCCTGGCCCCGCCTCTTTGCTGGTTGCTACTAGGTCCACACACTCCCTGCTTCATGAGCCTTATTGTGTGTGTTAGTTAGGACTCGGTGGAAACAACGTTTTCAGTGATTGTGTTGTTGGAGTGTGAGCGAGGTAGCTTTTATGAAAGGATTCAGGGAAACTGGTTACTCAGACTTGAGTTCTGGAGGTGAGAAGTACAGTGCCTACACTCTGAAGGATGGGTGAGGATGTTAAAGTTCTGGGGATGGGAAGTACAGTACAGGTTGACTATCACTAATCCGGCATCATTAGGACCTGTAAGGTGCTGGTATAGTGATTTTTGCTGAATTATAGAGTGGATAGGTTAGAATACACTTATCCCAACAGCTAACCACCTCATTCTACCTTTAAAATACCCCGTAAATCGGTACAAGTTGGTTAACCCTATCACTGTTGTGACCCGTGCTCACAAACTTGCTCCCAGTGTCGAAGAATTAAGAAAAAAAATTATTTGATCGTATAAAATGGTTGAGAATCTTTCTCCAAGGTTAATGAAACTAAAAGTATGAAACTTGATGGAAAACTTATGGAATCATGCTCTCAAAATGTTAGCAGTCTCGGCAATATTTACACATCAGCAATTTTACCCACTTTATGCCCTATTTTTGCCAATTCCGTTGTTCCAGTTGACCAAACTCATAGCTATTT